TGCGGAAGCAATTCGAATTTGAATTTCATTTTATTTTAACGCCGACCTACATATATTAATATAAGCCAGAGTTTTTGGCCTGACTAACAAATGTATATATATTATAAACTATATGTGACATGTAGGACGTAGTGGACATTCCTTCAATATCTGACACGCTGTCAGCTATATCAGTCAATTTCATTTTACATTTGTACAAAATCATTTTGAGTATTGTTTTTCGTCCATAACAGCGTCCCTTGTACGTCTACTCAGTTTGTTGTTGTTGTAGCGACAACGGGTCCGTTTCGGTGGAGGAGACCCGACTGACGAGCGAATGGGTCGTCGTCTTCGGACGGTCCTGTGCGGAAGTCTTACGAATTGTTGTATAACCACCCACAGAAGAACTTTTTCCTGTATTTTCAACAAGACTTTTGAACTCATGATTTTCTCAACTTAAATTAATACTTTATATTTGTACCAACATTCATAAAATACCAAAGTGAAAATAGATTTTTTAAAGAAACTATTTTTAGCTAAAAAATGCCTGCGTATATGAAAGTTAAAAATAAACTCTGCTTCTGATTTTCTTCACGTGATTTTTACGTATAAATGGCTGTTTATATTTACGTTTGCGCACACATTTTTTTTTTACGGTAAAATCACTTTTATGATACTAATGAAGAATACGTATATATGTATATAACTGCAATCGTAGTTTGTGAAAATTCTTTATATTTTTGTAGCTTTCACTTGTGGTCTCATATTTCTCTAGACGCCATTAAAAAACCTCGAACATACGAGCACGTTATATGAGTCGAACCAAGCTCGTGAGCTATCCTGTACTTGAGAATAAGAACGGATTTTTTTTACTGATTTCGTCATATTTTAGTCTCGCCTCCGTACATATACATATGTATGTATGTACATATTTCCATATTTATATATATAATACTTGGATGTGCACATATGTATGTACATATAATTACGAGCATTTGAAATGTCTGAGTGGGACGAGTATGAGAAATTCATCTGTAGATAGACAAACATCTTTTGTATTGGCGACGGTTTTTACAAGTGGAAATTGAACAGTTAGTAATTAGGTTATCACATCTTTGTATTAGACAAAATGATTTCGCAATGCTTGTATATTCGTTTGTTGGCGCTACCGATAACTTGAGTAAAAATAAGTTCTTTGCAAGACGGGACCTGCACTAACAAAATAGTAATATTGAAAGACGTATAAAAGTCATATGTGGATTTTTCTGGTTGGCGTCTTTATTTCATTGCTACAATCGTAATTTTTGAACAAGAATTACGACGGCCCTAAACTTACGTGAGATGACTCCAAGGCGAATTCATCACGGTGATACTGACACCATACTAACACAATTGCACACATTTTTCATTTGCATAAGCAAAGAAATAGAGTCTTACCGCATTTAGGCCAAAGCCAATGGTAATTGCATATAAGCAAAAAAACACTTCGTTGGTAGTTATATTTTGTTCAAATGCAAAATTTACATAAGCACTCTTGTGCACCTTTAAAATAGGTTCAAGTATTTGATCTCAAATTTGAAATAAGTTCGAGTGGGTAGTCAGACACTTCTCGCAACTGAAGAATCGGTACTTATATATTTATAACAATAGATACACAAACCACCACAGAAGGCAATTGATATAAAAATAGTAATCGAAAGTTATTAACTCACAACTTACTTACAATAATGTTCATTTTGTTTACTCGTGAGTGCATTCGTTAAAATTTATTTACATACCTTTCGAATACACGAATGTTCTTATATATACATATATATTTTTTGAAAATATCTTTAACTATACACGCCATAGACAGGTACTTAAGTACTTTGCTGGCTAATATAAGGAAGTAATGAAATGAACTGAATTCATCTATTTTTTTAGATTATCAAATACGTTAGTCAATACAAGTCGGAAGTCGGTGAAGGTGTTTATGGCTCCACTGTGAATAGCGTTTAGTGCATGTCTGAAGCTAGTTGCGTCCGAAATCTGGTCAGCGAAGTTCAACGAAAACACCTCAGCAAAAATTGCTCTGTTGGTGCGCTTTTTCGCGCAGACGACGCAGCAGAAAAATTCCTCCGGGCCCGCGTTGGACTCAATCCAGCACGAGTCAGGATAAAAATCCGAGTCCGTTCCGGTTACGTAGACCCGACCGTCGAGGGAACGGAAGATAACAAGGTCTCAACTCGCGGCTCCGCTCGCTAAGAATTTCTGACTGGTATCAATATTTATTACGTTGTTGTCGAGGATATCATGCACTCATCTCAAATTATGATTGAACTTTTTTTCAATACTGATATTATAGATACTTTGCCGGTTCCACAAGGTATGTCCAAAAAACAACCGTCTTATTCATAATCCATAAATGTAAACAAAAACAAGTAAAGAAGCACTAAATTCGGGTGCAACCGAACATTTTATACTCTTGCAACTTGCAAAAATTAAAGCTAAGGAAGTACTATATCGGGGGTAAGTCAAGTTTTCCCTCTAATTTATCTATTTTAGGCACAAAGAAACACTGTTATGAGAAAAAGGCGCTCTCTTATTTGCATTTGCATTGTGATACATTAAGTACCTCAACCCATTTTTTGACGTACAGGCATACTATTAGAGAAGGATTATCTCATAATTTGAGTTATGTATGTATATTACAGATTGACTGACATTTATTGCTTCTTGATTTGTGTATTGAAAACTGAACGAATCAGGTGGAACTAAAAATTTTGCTATATATAAAGTAGGCGTGGTTGCTCAGACACCCGCGATATCGAATTTCGCCAAAAATATGGCGATGATACGCCCATTGTGAAAGCTCCCATAAAACACTTTCATACCATCTAGGTAGTAAATTGATAATTTATATATACATATATATCCTTATATGTCCCTATATGTATGTATCTCGCTTAGTTTTATGTGATACGTACAACCGTTAGGTGAACAAAGCTATAATACTATACTCTGTAGCAACTGGTTGTAAGATAGTTATGTGATGTTATGATGTTTTTTGAAGTTAAAAAATATTCAAATGAATCTTATATGAATATTGAACATATGCTTATAATTTTTTTAATTGAATTTTTTTACCTTCAACATAAAATGAAAAGAAAATAGTCTACGTCCGTCCACTGGTTCTGGGTAACTCCCCACCAATTTCTAGCCAAATCGATTCAGACGTTCTTGATATTTACTTACATACAGTTGCGAGCATTGAAATAGTAGTGCCTATTGGATAAGAGAGTTTTGCTTTAAATTTTGTTTCTTTTATGATATTGCCGTCGATCATTATCTTAGATATATTCTCTGAACTATAACGGTCCTGTTATATACAACAATAAGTGTGAATTACTTACCGTTACTTTTTTGAAGCCAATTTTATTGGGATATCTGTTTTTATGAGCGACCAATAGAATAGTAGTGAACGGTAAGCTGATTACGAACAGATAATTTTTAATAACATACAATTTAATTTCATCAAACAACCTGGCCTGAGGTGTTTATACAGTGAGAAGACTTCTACATGAGCATAATTTATATGTCCGACGTCCTCGATAAGTACCGTTATTAAAAAAAATTCATATAGCAAGTTGTCTTAAATTTGCCAAAGGACCGATTGAGAAATGGCGCAACATCTTGCGGACAGACGTGTCGAAAGTTATTCTGTACGGCGGTAAAGGGTCCCGTCAGTTTCCAAGACGCTCCCCTAATAGAGAGTACGACCCCAGATTCAGCCCAAAAACTACTTGGCGGTTTAAATTTCATGGTTTGGGGTGTTTTTCTTACAGGCCCAATTTTTTTGTGTAGTCCCAATTCACAAGATTACTATCATAACGGACCGACAAAAATTCGTGGATATAATGCAGTATATTATGATACCATTTGCTGAAGAGGACATCCCGCTGAAAAGAATATTTCAGCAGAATAATGACCCGAAACATACCAGTAGGGTGGCAAAAGAGTGGTTTCGGGTCAATGGAATTGAGGTCATGGATTGGCCAGCTCAATCTCCTGACCTCAATCCCATTGAAAACTTTGGGCAGACGTTAAGAAAGCCGTATGGAATGACAAACCCAAAAACAACAATAGTTGTGGAACGTAGTGCAGCAAGCATGGCAGAACATACCACTAAAAAGATGCTAGAGTCTCTTAGATTCTATGAAGAGGCGTTGTGTTGCTGTTATTAAAAATCATGGCCATGCTACCAAGTACTAATATCTCRWATAGACGGAACTTCCAAAAATCCTTCAGTTTAAAAAAAAAAATTTATTACTTTACTACCATTTTCTGCTCCCATCAAATTTCATATATAAACACAACTTTGTGAATAAATATATGTATGTATCTTACACCCATTCAAATTAAAATAATTTTATTAATAAACGTAGCCAGGGAAATATGATAAACTTTTCCATTTCAATTGATGTTAAAATTGTTTAGAATTTTGCATAACTCAAAGGTATGTAAAACTCTAACACCCACTACTATTTCACTGCTCGCATCTGTACATACATATACTGCAAAATCGACAGTGGTTTTGAAAAAAGAAAAATGCCTGGTTTAGGAACTTCTAAAGCTAAATAAATTTTCACGTCATTCCGTCCTGTGTTTCGGATGTTACGCGGGCAGAAAATGAAATAGTGTTTCATTCTTATACATATGTATATAAGATGTTCATATATCGATTAAGAAAAATCGTACAAATTAAAATTGTTTTAAATAAGAGTTTAAACTTTAACAATTCTTATGTGAACCTAATTGTTTATATACTTTAGGTAAGCTTAAATAATTACAGTATGTAAAACATATACATATGTATATGTATCGTGTATGATATTTACAAAATTATGTACCAAATACATTGTGATCGCGAGGTAAATGCATATATACATTTTTTATGTTTTCAGTATATATGAATTTCCCAATCACATTACTAATTTAACATTTTAGAATATTAAAAATTGTGCTTTGATGAGTAAAATTACCTTTTATGTTCACTGCATTTAACTTGTTGTTGGAGGTGTCTAAACATCCTACAATAGGTGTCTGAGCCGTTAAAGTCAGCGTCCTTGTGCTGAGAACGATTTGCTGATTTTCGGCGTTGGGTGATGCACTATAGAAATCTGGATCATCAGCATCGAAGATAATATTGTCTTCCCACTCTGAAACTACACTATCCCTGCGTGTGGGCCGACTTTTCATCTATATAATTTAAAACAGTCTGATAAGAAAGTATAATTAAATATTAAAAAATACAATAATCAATATATTAACTCATCATCTAAAAGCATCTTTCATGTACCTTGTACTTGTAAATAATGAACCATACTATGGCACAAATTATTAATCTAACCGATCTAAATGGGGTTAGATCACCGAATGCCACTCAGAGTAGTCATCAATTCCTTCACCGACTCCCTTCCATGAATGGCGTACTCGGAGTCAAACCACCACCCATCACAAACGAATAGATCGATTTGCCGCGAGAAGAGAGTGACTCTTGTGCAGCTTCAGCACATCCCCATGCGGGGTTGTTTTAGCATTTACATATGCACTATGACTTTCTTTCTGGGTTTCCCTTGAAATGTCAGCATAGTCTATGTCAGAAACAGTGCTATAATACTCGGCTAAAGGCAGGTAGGATCGAAAAATTCAACTCAGTGAGGTTTTAAATTGGCCTTATTTACAAAAACAATTTTATTGATCTATGCTCTTTAAAGAAAGTACCGTGAGATTAGGCCGTCGCCGGCAGGTACCCACAATTGTATATTGTAGTAGGTTAAACTTCTATTTATCCAATATATGTCCTGCATACAATGAATCTCAGCATGACACCGGCCACCTCTTTGCATGCCCTACCAACCCCACTCATCTAACACCCCTTTCCCTTTGGCCCAACCCCGAAGAAACAGCACGTTTCGTTTGCCTTCCGTAATATGACGTCGATGACAACTTACCATCCCAACGGGGACTAGGTACTCGCTAGAACAACAGCAACCAATTATTAATATAAACTTCTTAATACAAATAAGACCAAATATGTATTAACCACTAGTACCATTGAAAGATAAAATATGCACATGAATCTAGGATTACGAGCATATTTGTTTTCAAGAAATATGTTTATATCTATATACACATGTTGGATGGGTATGTATGTATGTATATACTGGATAGCAGCATCCACAACTTAACTGGCAAATTAGAGTGTTACTTCATATTCAAATCGATACGACCTTGATGTAAAACTTTTATCAATCATCATTGCACTTACATTTAAAAATGTTTTTTTATTTCAACAATATGTCGGGTTGTTGTGGATTGCTTTCGAAATCGATGATTAGGTGAATGACAGATGCAAATGCACTGATATAGACTGCAAACAGTTTATTGTCTATCAGCGGTAAGAAATCTTTAGAATACCATTCTTATGCTACAAAGAATAAATTTGATGAAATTTGAAGAAAGTGACACGCAGCTTTAATTTTATTTGTAGACAATAACACAAAACAACAAATGTAACAACTTCGCCTCCAACAATAATTTGGCACACAGGGTTTCATTTGATCACTAGAACCTGCTATCGATTACGATGAAAATTTGTAATCGAAAGTGCAAAGAAAGTATTTGCTGGACTAGCATGCATGACTCGCTGCTTCGTGATCTTTAATGCATTGCTTACAAACAGACTTTACCAAACTCAAGACAACGAAAAAAATTTATTTAAAAAATGTATACCTACTTTAATGAAGTTAATCCCGTCTCAAACAGTTATTTATTTCCGAAACACAATCTATAATTCTAAGATATTTGTCATAACTCTTGGCAATAATGGTTGCAACTGTTTTACATTTTCCACAAATGTCAGAAAAGAACGAAGTAATCTAGATAAAAGTTATAAAAAGTAAATAAAACCTATCTGATTCGTAAGCAGTGAAAAAAATTATAAGGCTAAATTCGTAATAAAATACGTGACCAAAAAATTTAAAGTTAGGCCTATGTAAAAAAGGTTTTACAATGTAAATGGTAGAAAAATATTAAAAAAAAAACCTTTATAATAAAAAATAGAAGCATTTTGTGTTGAATACACGGATAATTAACGAAATGGATGATAATTTATGGTAAGCTGTAATGGAATTTTTATAATTTGTAATATCTTATCCACTTTGGTATTTCATGTAAATTTTAATTTAAAAATGAAGTATGAGTGGAACAGTTCTTATATTAGTGGATTAAAAATGTTATTGCTTGCTTTTACTTAATGTTTGCTTGTTCTCATATACTAAATTAGCTATTTAAGGGCTTTAATGTTTTAATGGACTCATGATATTTGAAAGAGTTTTTAATTTATTAATTTTAAAATACACGTACCATATTGCTGATTAAAGTTTATTTTCAGGCTTATTGAGTTAGAGTCAGCGCTCTTAGATGACTGTAATGTTAACGACATATATGCTATTTGCCGAGGCAAAGCAATTCCCGAATCATTGCGTCCTGACGTTTGGCAAGTGTGCCTCGATGTGCGTCACAAAAGCGATCAAATGTCGTTGTTCAATGAAATTTTTGATTTACCTTTTCAAAATACGTTACGTGAAGACTGTCAAGCGATTGTGGATCGAATTGGAAATGATGATGAAGACAAAGTGTCAGTAATTTCCGATTTGGAGTCGATCCTCACATTTTATTGTAAAAATCGAAATTTTTTGTATGAAAGTGATAATGGTTGGATTGAACTATTGTTACCTTTGTTGGCACTCAAGTTAAATCGATCTGACACCTACAACTTATTTGAGGCAATAAGAGACACATACATACCTAAAGGCTGCAAACCAAAAGGAAACGTGTTTCATGTTTTTCGCTTACTTATACTATATCATGATCCTGAATTATGTACAATGTTAGATACGAAAAAAATTACACCAGATCTATACTCAATGCAATGGTTCCAATGTTTATTCGCTTCGAGCTGCAGCCTTACCGTCATTCTCTCGATGTGGGATTTATATTTTCAACATGCAGATCCCTTTATGGTATTCTTCTTGGCATTGATTATACTTGTCAACGGGCGTGACTTAATATTGGAAATGAAAGATGCAACAAAAGAAGATTTAATAAAATTTCTTTCAAATATGCCTTGCGCTTTGGAACCGGATGATGTAGTTGACTTTTGTTCGTTAGCTCAATACTACTCCGTTAAAACCCCTAGTTCATTCAAAACGGATTTTTTAAAAGCGCTTTATGGTTCGCAAGGTGAAAAGGCACCTCACATTGAACCCTGCAGTGTTTCGCAGGTAAGTAAAAGCAACACAACAATCATGTAAGCCACATACTAAAACTTAGAAAAACAATTATTAAAAGTTAAATATCATTATATATGTCGTTAACCAGTTATTACAACAAATGTTTATGTATGCGGTTTTTAGGCCTTGTGTCTTCCAGTTTCCGTCTATGAATTAGTGGAAAATTCATCTTTAGAATTAAATACATCCGACACAGTACGTTTTTTCTTGGTTGATTGTCGTCCGGCAGAGCAATACAATGCCGGACACCTTTCCACGGCATTTCATCTTGATTGTAATTTAATGTTGCAAGAACCTTTGGCTTTTTCTACGGCGGTACAAGGGTTGTTAAATGCACAGCGCCAGGCAATTGAAGCAAACTCTAACGCGGGAGGTGAGCATCTTTGTTTCATGGGAAGTGGCCGGATGGAGGAAGATCAATATACACATATGGTGGTCGCTTCATTTTTACAAAAGAATACTCAGTACGTATCGTTGCTGACTGGAGGTTATTTGTCCATTCACGATTATTTTGGAGACCACATGACAGATTGCCTAGAGGATCATAATGTAAAAAAGTGCATTGTTTGTTCTAAAAATAATGTAGAACTTAGGAATTCAGGGAGAATAAGACAAACACATGAGGTATTCAGTTAAATTTTAATAATGTGTATATTTTTTAATTAAAAAAATATTTATTTTAAGGATAAACGGGATCAACCACGACCAACCTCCGATATTTTTAGCCGATTTTCTGCTGTAATGAAATTGAAATCTTCAGAAGTAAAGGAGAAGCTCTTCGATATCATTACAAATCCATCAAATGGTGCCACTGTTAATCCCCATTCGAATTTGGGCCAGTCGACCATTCAGGATCGACATGTTTCTGCTACTGAACGCAATGGAAAACGTTATCGTAATGTAGCACCGGTATTTAGCATTGACGACGAGAATGATGACCATTATAACGACAATGAAGTGAAAGATTCACCAGATTTGATCAGTTCTAAATTGGCAGGTGATGCTAAAGAAATTGTCAGTTTAACTCAGTATTTAAAGTCGCCAGATATAATTAATGCGTTTCGTTGTCAAGAAGTTCACATGAATGGGTATATGTACGATAGTCATTTAATAATATCGGCGACGCACTTGATTGTATTACGAGAACTCGGGCGCGGGCAAGCTCAGATTATAGTTCGACGTCCCCTATCAAGTATAGTTAAAATAACTGCAAAGAAACGTCATCGTGATTTGATCACATTCAAATACGGATTCCCCGATGGAGATGGACTACTTATAACTGACATGGACCGATTTCTTATTCCGAACGCTAGTGAAGCTACTGCTATTGTATCGAAATACATTGTTCAAACACTAGACGGCTCTAAATTAACGTAATGGAACATTACCATCTTATATTTTACTAACAGCTAATTGCATTGAGTGATGACGATTTATAGGTTTTGTTTATTTTGTAAAAAACGTATACTATATATAATAACATATAAAATTAAAAAAAAACATCAATATGTGTATGCCATAAAGAACCTTTTAATAGATATTTTCTTTTATTAACTTTTTCTTACTCGTGATTATTTAGTATATAAATGTTTAATTGAATAAACATTGTTAGAATATACTGCGATAACAATCAAGTAATGAACTAAGCGAAATGGGTTTGTATTCGTATAAAACATATTGACTAACTATTCCGCCTAACCACACTATACTTGCTTATATTTATGTACTGTACTCTAATTTTCCGATGCTTCCACAACGGTGCATAATTTTAATTTTGTTAGAAAACTTGAACGTAACGTTTTTAACAACCCCTAAAACAAAAATTGAAATTATGGTTTCCCCATTTACATATGTATGTGCATATATGAACGCATCTTAACCAATTTAGTGGTGTGAATTGAGACTTGGTAAGTTAAATATTACTACACATTCACATATTATACTATTGTTCAGACTTTCATACAAACCAAGTTTTACATTAGGAACAAATTTTTTGGGTACAAATAAGAGAGTAGACCTTAAACGCGTCTATAAATCTAAATTAGTTGGTAAATTACTTAAAATAATGTATGTGTGTTAGAGGAGATTTGCCAGAAAAATAAACAAGAGAACAAGTAGAGAAGTACTAAGTACGTAATTTGTAAGATAGCTTACATATTAACCGACTTTGTGGTACAAATCAACCGAAAGTTATATAATGGTTATATGAGAACTAGAACCGATGTATCCCTTTTTGGTATCATGAAATTACCAAAACAAAAATGGTTTCAGATTTTCAATGAGATACATATACATACATACCTATATAAGCTATAATATCTCTATTATTCTTATGAGTACCAAAAACCGTTAGGCGAACAAGACTATTATACTCTGTGATACATGTTGCGAGAGGATAAAAATCAGCGAATTATTATTCAATATATAATATGTACCTACAGATATGTATGTATGTGTGCATACAAATGTACGAAAATAATTTTCTGCAGCACCATATCGTAGGGGATCTATAATCTGGTCATTCCAAAGTTGAAAATGTAAGGAGATTAGTAATAGAATATTCAAACATTCATATATGCATGTTCATATGTACATACATGTAAATATTTATGGCGGTTTTTCATATAAAGCCAGGAAACATGAATTCAAATCAGCGTGTTCGAGTGGCTCGAAAAGCGGGTAAAGTGAAAAAAAAGCTCCAAGCCACTGTGAATTTGAATAAGTAAAAAGCCCGGAATATGTTTAAGTGCATGCGCAATGAATCCGCATGCAACGTGTTGGAAATAAATTCTTATCAATGACGTACGTAGAAAAGTTTTTGGGTGGCCGAAGAGTTGTGGGTTGGCGGTAATCAGTGAAAGCAGCAATAAACATATGCTGTTGCATTCGAGCAAGACGCCCTCGCCTGTAATGTGGAGAGATATCTACACTCACAATCTCACTGTGATGACCGTGCACAAAGGCGCAGGAGCAAAAACGATTTTCGACGCCCGCACTGGAAAAAACGAGGTCAGTTCAATAAAAATTGTTGCGCCTACAGCAGAGACATCAGTTAATTCAGAGCACCGAAGCCATTAACATCGTCACTTAGAAAAGACTAAAACACAAAGACTATAGCAAAACCACAATCATTGTGATCACATAAAAATTAAGTGTTAAAGTTTAATAATTTTTTCTCGTATTTATCACAAGTGATTTTCGAAATAAAAAGTAAAAAAGCCAACATGAGCTGTGGCAAATGTTTACATTACACTATTAATTTGGGTTTTGTACTTGGGCTTTTCGTGGTGGCCGCTGTGGCGGTGCCCACTTCAGTGCTAGTGCAGAACTCCGAAGTTACATCCAACATCAATGCAGCTAACAATGGGCACAATTTAATGACAAAAGGTTAGTAAGTACTATGCATATACAAAGAACAAACACGAAACAGCGCAAGATTATAAGTAATTTATTAAAGTGGCAGATATGTTAATAGAGAGCAATGTGGCTCGCTGTCAACAGGTGATTTTCCGATAATTATACAAATTCTTCAAAAGATGTATGTTTCTACTGCAAGTGTTGTGTACTTAACTAGCAGTGCTTATTTTCAGAAAAAAATTTAAGATGTAACTTAATCCTTATTATATATATGTACAGCTTTAGAGACTTCTTTAATTGCTTTGCGTTATGTTACTCAAACTATCTTTTTTTGCCCATTGTCTTCCAGACTTTTTTGTTCAAATATGTTTATTATCTATTTTTTTAATAAGTATGTCGTAGTAACAGATTCAAGTAAGGACATTCCATATTGTTGCTGATGGTTGAAGCTTGTTGTTTGGCACCCATTTATGTATGTATGTTAAGAGCGTAGTTTGCGTTGGAGTGGGCGATGACGCTCCTATTGAGAGCGCCATGGAGTGTGGATAGGTTTCTATTTATAGAACAGTACACAATGGCTGAAGCTTTTCATTATTTACAAAGCCTGTAGCAAGTAAACACTATAAATTCTGCGAAGTAGTTAAAGGGAAAACCCACTTTATATACAATGAAAATTCAACCGTAACAAGCAACTTTGATTGCTTAGCCATTGCAATTGATACTAATATGTGCACATATATGCATTCAAATATACTCGTACGTACTTACATATACATACATATGCATTCACATACATGTATATAGCAATGTTCATCATACGCCCTGTTGATATATTAGCGTTTCAATTTTCATTAGAAGCCAATAACAACAGGATAGCGTTTCAATTTTCAACCCAAATTTTTGATATTTATCAGAACCTGGTAATGACAATTTTTGCCACCATATGGTATAGAAAGTAACATTTATTTAAATACTCACAAATATTTATACATGTGTATGCATGTGACTAGGTTGCCTATTTCAGTTTCCTACGTGAACATGACTATCTGAGCATTGAACACTAAAGACAAGTCAACAGCATATGGGTTTTTATGACTCAAAGCTGTTATTACTTATGCTGTCATTATGTATTTTATCTATGACTTTAATCAGAATAAAAAAGCGGCGCATTATTGAATATTTTGTCGTGAGGATAGTGTAGTGGTTAGAGCTGCACACCAAAACCATGCAAAGCCCAAGCTCTTCACCCCAGTCTTGTCAAGTGTCTGGCAATTTATTTAAGCTATTTGCGATTGTAGAACCCTTCTTTGTACCATAGTTTAAGCTTTATGGAAATGCAAAGCTTACAACTCTGTCGAATGCTGCGCAATAACAAGTGGACAGAGAAAAAAAATCAAAGTCATCATACATTGACCGGCCAAAGTCGCTGGAATATAAGAAGAGATGTTAATGGAAGTTATCGTATAATGAATTAAATGATCTAATTCTATTACTGAGGTTGGAAATGGTGGGGTATTTTCATGTGAACGCTATGGGTATCTAATTTAATACAACTGACATCAGCTGCAAGTGTCAGCTTGCTTGTCAAACACACACAATTACCTATACGTACATATAATTGAATTTAGTACTCCCTATGCCAGCATCTACATAAGTACTTGGACACAGTCAAAGATACGACTGCAACAGTAAGCTATCAACTCATTAGTAACGGCGTTAATTGCTTTAACATTACATTAAATTGACATTTTTCTAAAAAATATTGAGGAGCAGTTAGGAATCGTTATTAAGTTAAAGATATTAACATTTTATATTTCATATTTACATGAATATATATGTATATACATTTATATAGATTACGTGTCACGTTGTTTGTCTTTAAAAGTAGTTTGTTTGTTTTAAAGTATAGGATGGATTATATCTTTATATATAATATAATTTAATGTATGTATGTATGTGCATGGTACTTGGTCACATCAAGGCATTACTGGCTATAAAACCGGAATTATATACACGAAAAGCAAACATATAAGCTGCATATACATATATATCCTACTCTAATTAATAACTAGAAAAGTAACTATAGCGTGAAATTTGCAAAGAACTTATTATTAATTGGTAGCCGAAGATTAATTAAGTGCTCAAAATAGAAGCTATGATAATTACTATAAAAAAGTAATATTGCTAGCTCTCCGGCGAAAGGACTAGCATATTAGTGTTATTTTCGAAAAATACCTCAATTAGTACAAGGACTCAACCAAAATACTGTAGTGGTCTGAAAGGGAAATATTTAAACAAATTAAAGTAAAAAGTGATGTTTCCCCGTTTTCCGTTTCCAGTTACAAATAGCACATAAACAGATATAGAGTTTCCTTCTTAATGGTGATACTTCTTCACGAGTTCAATGCTATTCAAATACATTGCAAACTAGAAATTTAGCTGGCAAAAAGATCATGTAAACTTCTGATTATAGTTATGTATATAGGAATGCAACAGCAGGATGTCAATTTCCGCCATGAACGCCATTTCCCCGCCGATTTGACGACTTGTATAAGATACAAATGCTTTTTCGTTTTGATATTGCACACTGTAATGAATGCTATGTATTGCTTGTTGGGCCATTCTTTTCAAATGCACCAGAAGAAAACACTCCCGATTGCCTTGAAGAAATGTGGCTCTAAACGCGCTGAAAAGCTGAGGGCTATAGGAATTAATTGATAGTTTTTATTAATTTTCATTTGTGTATTTTGCTGAGCATAAAAACTGTATATTTATATTTACTAATACATATGTATATGCCATATATGAACTGTTTATTTTGTTAAAAGTTAAATTGCATTGTTTAATTCAAAATTTTAATGCCACCAATTTTAATAGTAAAACGCTCTTCGGCCGACGTAAATGGTATAATGTCCAAGGAGGCTATCAACGACGAGGTCTCTTCATCGGCAAATAAAAAATCGAGCCCCGAAGTTCTTCCGCCGGCCTTTAATATGCCAACCACCCACCAACATTTGGAAAATGGTGGCAAAGATAGTGGTGACAACAATTCGAACTCTATTGCATATGTTCAGTCAGCTGGCACAAATTCGATGCCATCGAATAAAGATATTATTAATTCCGCAATCGCTGCTGGACTAACCGCTGCGGCAGTACAAGCAGCTGCAACGGCAAGTCAACACGAACTGGAACAACAA